CCGTCTGGCAACACCTATAAAGAATATCACCTTAAAGGTAACATCTGCTGGAGGCTGTAGGACTTTGTCTGTGGGTGCTCTTTGTCTTTTATTTTAATTCATGTTGTTTCTCTTGGTTGTACAGCTCTTGGCTCAACATTTGTGGTTTTTAAATGTGCTTTAAAGGCTTAATATGTAATTTTTCACACTTAAATGTAATAGAAATCAAGTATATCCTCTGAAAATAACTCTGTGAGTCATGACTGTCTACAATGGGTGTAACACCCGAGTCCCACTGTCTTCGATGCTTTCCGAGTTCTCCGAGTCATATCTTCACTTTGTTTACATCGTCAGGACAGCCGGTTGACTCATCCACTCGCATATAAAAGTTGTTTAATTGAGGGACTAGAGAAAAGAAGAATAACATACTGTACTCACTGTGTTTCTAGATCACGCTCATTTCAGGTAAATTGACATGCAGTGTGAAGATACGAGCATAATAAAGATCGCTAGCATTAGCATGCTAACACAACAATGCAGCGCGAGTTGTTTTGGTTTCATGCTGTTGCTCAAGGGGCGACATCTGCTGGATCAAAAAATCGCATATAAAGCTTTAAAAAATAGACTTGACTTGAAATGAGTTTCCTCAAAAGGGATTCTGGGCTCAGCCTTAGAGATAGGTGTGAGGAGCTGGGAGTACAGCTGCTGCTCCGTCAAGATTTTTGTTTCACACATGCTCACACAGATGTGCAGTGAAAAACAGGAACTAGAAAATGCACGGGGGAGAGGGACAACTTGCTTAGCTTGTTGCTACCGCTACCCGGCCACGGATAAGCGGAGGGAAAATGGATGGATGAAGATGAAAGCAGTTTTGTTTTTCATGTTAATATGTAACGTTAATCTTAAATGTGTCACATTGCTGTAGTGCACTGCTGAATGCATCATATGAAGTCAGAAACTAAAGGCAGTCTGCGTGAGCATGGACGCTACATTTAAACCTTGTTATCGGATGATGATTGTTTCTCTAAGAAGTGATAACAAAAAGCTGATGAGCTGTTTTCTAATTAGACAAAAGTGATTTGCTTTTCGCTCTTTTTCTGTTTGAACAAACTTGCGTTGAATGTTTTTGGTGTGTAAAGAAGTTTTATTTTCATTTTCGTTCAAAGAGCCTAATAAAATACAGTTTTTTTTTTACATGACCAGTGAATCATCTAATTTGTAAACAGCTTTCCCAAAGGTGATTTGAGTAGATGAGGTTTAATATGTGACTATTTGAGATAATTGGTGTGTCATTAACAAAAGGAAAAGCTTTGACGCTGAGGAAAAAGAACAACTCATGTTGATTTTCATTTTAATGTTGATGCAAAAGAAAACAAGCAGTCTAATCAGCGGACCTACATTAGTTACTGAGCTCCCTTTTGGGCCACATTAGCATTGTTTCTCTGTCGCCTCAAGTTAAGTCCCTCACTCTTTAATCATGGCTGCCCCTCCCGTAGGAGTTCATTTTATTGTCTCTGAAAGTTTGAAACACTGCAAACACACTTTTCAGACAAAGACTGAGTGTCCGTGTGAGCCGGAGTGTCTCTGCATCGTCGTTCAGCTCAAACCTTCCTGGTCAAAGACCCAGAGTGCAGCCGTCATCTTGCAGCCGAAGAGGAGGATTTATGGAAGAAGTTGTGGATCTGCTGAGCTGCAGCGTGACCCACGATGGGCTCTAGCTCGGCGGGGGAGGCGTTGCAGAGCTGCCCGATGCTGGAGAAGTGCTGCAGCAGGGCCAGAGCTTTGGCCCTGCCAACCCCGGGACCTGCTGCACCAGAGCGAGGACGAGCGGGTCCAACAGCCGGGACGAACTGCTCCTCCTGAAGGGGTTGTCCCTGCCCTCCCTGTGAACCTGTAGAGGACCAGAGCAGATTCAAACCAGCAGAAGACAACATTTTGGCCTTTTTGTCTGAGGCAGTAGATGACCGTTATTAGCTTGATTAAAGGTTACTCTGCTATTCTAAAACCTGAGCCTTACCTTTACATATTCTCTGTGTGTAAATGAGTAAAGGGAAAAACAAGATTTGAAATTGTTCCAACCAGCTATGATCCTGCTGGGGAATGCAACCGACTAAAATACGTCTGTGGCCTTGCTGAACATTGGTGTTGCTGCCTCAATCAGCTCATGTTCCTGTGTAAGTGTGTGACAGTTACAGTAACATACTGCAACTGAAACAAACTAACCTGCAGAGGCAGCATAAGACCAGAAACTGCATGTTCTGCAAGGTAAAATGACTGTTTTTATCAATGCAGGCTGGTGTTTTTGAAGAGAGCGGTGTAGTAGTTGGTACTGATTAAATATGATCCACGTCTGTGTCTCTGCAGGGATAAACTGTAACCTAATGTTTCAGTGTAATGTCTTGAGGTTCCGTCATTTGTCTTCACTTCATTACCATCTGAGCGAGGAGCTGCGAGGCCTCGGTCTGCCCGCTGATCGGCAGGAGGGTGAGTCCGAGGTCAAACGCCACAAACTTCTGCACAGCAGGGAAGTACTGCTCACTGACTCTGGTGTTCTCCACCAGAACAAGCATCTGGAAACTGCTGCTGTTGCTCTGTGAAACAGGAAAGCAACATTTCATAACAACACAGACAGGCATTTCTCTCACACACACGCATGCACACTGTCAGTGCATCAAACTCACATTTCTGTAGCGAACCAGTTTCCTCTTGTAGCTGTTTCTTGCTATGATGTCGCACTCAGACACGTATAGGATCCTGCTTTTATTTGGCAAGTGGAAATCTGCAGCACCGAGCTCATTCTCAAAGATTAGTTTCACACCTGCACCTGCAGCGGAAGTAAAGCTGGTTAAAAACCAATATATTTACAGTTGGACTTTATGATTGACATTTTGTTTTAGCATTTTGGTTAGAACTCATTAGGAGTTTACAGACCGATGCAGAGCTGGCTAAACACTGAAGCTTCAGTGTGCACCACATGGCAACCTGAGTGAGCATCGACTCTACAGAGGAGGGAGGGGGGAGCAGACAGCCTTCAGGGTATTTTTTGTGACACAGAAATTCATATCTGTATAATCAAGCAGAACGTCACTTCTGATATGGCCGTCTGTCTACTCCGCAGAACCCCCATTTAGAAATATCAACAAATACAAAAAGTCATGTGATAGTAACATTATGCTAAACATTTAAATTCAGGAAACTGGTTTAAATCACTCTTTAGAGCACAGCCTCTATATCGGGTTTGGTAAAATCCACTAAAAACAGCTTATACCTGTAAAAGGCAAATTGTAAAGCCCTGCATTTATAACTGAGCTGCGTATGGCGAATAACAAAAAGGTTTTATATGACACTTTTTGGCCAATTTATGTAATGACATCTAAGCCGAATTGAAGACAGTATCTATTAGAATGGGACACGTGTACATTCATATTAAAAAACACGTTTTAATTCGAACTTGAGAAAAATAAGTGTAATATGTCCAAGGAGCGTTTTCTGCGCAATCTGGTTGTTTGGTTGTAAAATTAACGGCAGAGACATTAACTAGCGTTAACTTCAAGTCGTAGAAAGTTTAGTTTTGGGCTGCTAACATAAAAATAATTAGTTAGTTACCCTTTAAGCTTTGTAAGAGGGAAGAGTTTCTCCATTTGTCGCTTGAAATAACATGTCCGTAAGGAGGAACCGCGTTCAGCAGAACAGGCGCTTTGGTCTCCATGAAGACACACAGACAAAAAACTGCCTAAAAGTCCCAATTTGTTTCAGTTAAAATAGAAAAATAACCGTCGTAGTAGAGCTTATGACATTATCGTTCAATGACAAGTGTGTTAAGTTTTGTTTTGTTGCCTCCAAAACGTCCAAATCTCTTCTTCTTCTTCCTTTGCTTTCTGTTACGCATAGACAGCGGACGCCTTTTTGTCGCCCCCTGTAGGATCGGGGGTAAAGCACATAGCCAACAAATCACACTCCAGCACTCCAGGCGACTTTTTAAAACGTACATAAAAAATTAATATTAAAGTCTTTGCATATTACTTAGGCCTATATAAAAATGGGCAATTATTCACTATAAGACGGTGGCCCTAATGGTCAAATTCAAAAACAGTTAATGGTTGCAAAAATACATTTTACCATCCGCCAAAATGAAAAAATATTTCATGAACCATAAATACATAAAAACAAATTTCATTTCTTTCTAGAAACATCTTAAACATTTCACTGACTGCCAAAGAACCCATTAAACTTTTGCAAAAATGTTTACATTGAAATATAAAATATTTATTGCATACGTTTTCATTTACCAAAGGTGAAATATTTTTGCATTTTGAAATATTTTAAACAGAAGGTGAAATATAATATCTAATGGTTGGAAGGTGAAATATAATATCTAATGGTTGGTTTGCGTGCCAAATGTACAGAGGCCACTGTCCTCGAATTGGGTGGCTTGGGATCGAGTCGCTGACTTCCCACACTGTCCTGTCTCTCAAATAAAGGCCCAAAAAAAGAAGACAAAAAGAAGGCAAAATATTTTTCATTTAGTGAAATGTTTTTCACAGAGGTCGACATATTTTTTTTGCAGGTGAAATATTTTTGCAACTAATAAAATATTTTTTTGCTTAAATTAAATTTTCCAGAAGGTGAAAATAATTTGCAGAAGGTAAAATAATTTTTGCAATTAATAAAATATTTCTTTTGCACAATTAAAAAAAAAATGTCACAGGAGAAATATTTGTAGGCGATATTTCTTTCGGCAAATAAAATAAATAAATAAATGAAGAACCAATACAATAACCATCATGACCACCAGGTGAATTTGAAAGTCATTCTGCGACCGTAAACATCCCTGTAACTTGTGAAAATCACGCGTGTGTTTTTGTTTCATTTTTTGTTGTGAGTACAATATTTTCAGTCTTATGTGAATATTTTGGTTGTATATGATGTTGCGCTCTTGTCTAAAGTTATCTCTGTCTGTCTGTCTGTCTATCTATCTATCTGTCGCTATCTATCTATCTATAGCTCCATGGCGATCTCAATCGTCTCCATAGCGACCGCTATCGGTCAGAAAAGGAAGTACACCACCTTTTCCAATGCACCAACCGCTGCCGGCCACATTATCGGAAACAAATAGGAAGGTTTAACAGGTAAAACAAGACTTAAATAAAACAAATGTATTACACAAACATTTCATACATTCACATGCAAAGCCCCGTTCATCCGGGTACTTTTTTAATTACATTTGTAGGCGAGTTAAAGCTAGTTTATCTTGACGCCGGTTGGCTAGCTAACAGCTTCTTCACCTTCACGTTGGTTCGTTATTTATACGTTGGTATTTGAAGCTGTAAATCAATAATTTAAGTCGTGTTTTCTGTTTCTTGTGTTGTTTTAGTGCCGCTGTGTTTGTCGACGAGCTCGTACACAATGCTGAAAATATTAATTTTGAAGGTAAGTGAGCTTTTCACCGACTAATCACCAAAGTTCGCTAAATGTTGTAATGACAGTGAGCGCCATGTTGAAGAAGATTGATGAGGATTAAACTTCATGTGAAGATTGATGAGGATTAAACTTCATGTGAAGATTTATGAGGATTAAACTTTATGTGAAGATTGATGAGGATTAAACTTTATGTGAAGATTGATGAGGATTAAACTTTATGTGAAGGTTGATGAGGATTAAACTTTATGTGAAGATTGATGAGGATTAAACTTTATGTGAAGGTTGATGAGGATTAAACTTTATGTGAAGGTTGATGAGGATTAAACTTCATGTGAAGGTTGATGAGGATTAAACTTTATGTGAAGGTTGATGAGGATTAAACTTCATGTGAAGGTTGATGAGGATTAAACTTAATGTGAAGGTTGATGAGGATTAAACTTAATGTGAAGGTTGATGAGGATTAAACTTTATGTGAAGATTGATGAGGATTAAACTTAATGTGAAGGTTGATGAGGATTAAACTTTATGTGAAGATTTATGCGGATTAAACTTTATGTGAAGATTGATGAGGATTAAACTTTATGTGAAAATTTATGAGGATTAAACTTCATGTGAAGGTTGATGAGGATTAAACTTCATGTGAAGGTTGATGAGGATTAAACTTCATGTTAAGGTTGATGAGGATTAAACTTCATGTTAAGGTTGATGAGGATTAAACTTTATGTTAAGGTTGATGAGGATTAAACTTTATGTGAAGGTTGATGAGGATTAAAGTTAATGTGAAGATTTATGCGGATTAAACTTTATGTGAAGATTGATGAGGATTAAACTTTATGTGAAAATTTATGAGGATTAAACTTCATGTGAAGGTTGATGAGGATTAAACTTCATGTGAAGGTTGATGAGGATTAAACTTCATGTGAAGGTTGATGAGGATTAAACTTCATGTTAAGGTTGATGAGGATTAAACTTCATGTTAAGGTTGATGAGGATTAAACTTTATGTTAAGGTTGATGAGGATTAAACTTTATGTGAAGATTGATGAGGATTAAACTTTATGTGAAGATTGATGAGGATTAAACTTTATGTGAAGATTTATGAGGATTAAACTTCATGTGAAGGTTGATGAGGATTAGATGAGGATTAAACTTTATGTGAAGGTTGATGAGGATTAAACTTCATGTTAAGGTTGATGAGGATTAAATTTTATGTGAAGGTTGATGAGGATTAAAGTTAATGTGAAGATTGATGAGGATTAAACTTAATGTGAAGATTGATGAGGATTAAACTTTATGTGAAGGTTGATGAGGATTAAAGTTAATGTGAAGATTGATGAGGATTAAACTTTATGTGAAGGTTGATGAGGATTAAAGTTAATGTGAAGATTGATGAGGATTAAACTTCAGCAAACACCTGATTTATGTGGATCCCTACAATTGTGACTAGATCTAGACAGATTAGGGATGTTACATTCACTCGGTTCACAATACATTTATTGTTCTGTCACAAAGCTTGAGGGTGATTTCCAGTTAAAGGTGACATATTATGATAAATCCACTTCTTCAGTGTTTTTGAACATGTATTTGGGTAACCTGAGTGTCTACGGACCCACAAAATGTGAAATAAACCCATCCAGTCCTTTGTTTGTGGTCTGCATAAGTCATACAACACAGAGAAAAATGATCCATTTCAAATGTGCTCTCCTTGTGATGTCACAGTGGTGATTCTGGTAAAAAAAAAATCAGAAATTCATAAAGTAATTCAGAGAAGCCTGTTTTGGTTCATAATATGACATCTTAATTCAGCTGTATTCAAAGTGAGAGCCTTCACACTACACGTCCAGGCTTTCCACTTCATGCCACTGATGTAAAAAGGTTCAAATGGAACAAAACAAGGATAGTAGAGCTGGAAATCGTGTGAACTAGAGAGTGGATCAGTGAAATTCGACATTTCTTCTGGGCTCTGCAGGTTGACAACCCGTCCTGTCTCTGGGGTCGGGTTGTCCGGGGTCTGGGTGGAGACGCAGAGACGGCAGTACAGTACGACAGGCTGCTTGCTCAGATGAACCTCTTCTACCACGATGTCACTCAGGACCTGCGCAAGCTAAAGCCCACATCGTTAGAAGAGGGACAGGTAATGCAACACCTGCAAGGTTTACACTCCTGAGTGAGGCGGGGGGGAGGGGCGTTGTTTGACACCTTATTGGACTTGATGTGAATTTGATGTTTTAGTAAGGTGATGGGGCTAAAGCAGTGATATGATATTCTTTTCTACATTGATCAGAATTCATGTTTTTTCACAGTATTAACATCTTTTTTTCACGAGAAGAAACCAGGCGGTTCATGAGTAAGATGCTAGATTAAGGTTTTTTTTATAATGCCCCGTCTTACATTTTTAAATTGTATTCTTATTTTTTTCCCACATTCATTGGCTGAGTTGGTTCTGGAACATAAGCAGCTTTTGGGTTATGTTTTCAGGAGCCGAATTACGAACAGAGATAACGTCCTCTATGTGCTGTATTTCCTCTCAGGTGTGTGTGGTGTACTGGTCGGTGATGAAGTCGTGGTGTCGGGCTGTGGTGGAGTCCATCATTATGGGCTCAGTGTCCTGTCAGGCTCGCTGCCTCCTGGTCGACCATGGAGAACGACTCGTTGTGTCGTCAGATCAGTAAGTCCAGGTCCAGTCCACCCCTCCTCTTCACTTAACCACCGCCATTTGAATAAATCATCCACACACAATGTTTTCAGAGGACGTTTTTGTTTTCTGACTTGTCTTAAAGAGTGTGTTAAAAGGGTTGTGAACATGTGGGGGAACAAAATGAAACCTAAAAAACCCCACAAGGTCACATCAAAGAGTCTTTATGTGGTAGATAATCATGGACTGTCTTCCATTGTGTTTCTGTGCTGTTTAAACAGGATCAGAGTTGCTGTGCAGAACTTTCTCCAGCTGCCTTTCTGGGTGAGAAGGTTTCACCTGGCAGGACTCAAACCGGCGACCCTGAGAGTGTCCGTCTTTGAGGAGATGGCAGAGCTCATGTAAGACCCGCTTCATGTTTACCTCAGAACTGCTGATGGATTTGTGAAATATCCATGAAAATAAATAAAGTAGTTCTTAAGTTGTGATGCACACACATCCTTTCTTGATTTTCTTCGACCCACTTTATCTCTGTGTTGTGAAGTGAACAGTTTATTCTTCATTTCTTTCCTCTGCAGTTCATCCTCTCAGTGGGACAGCTCCGCCACGCTCTACCTGCATAACCTGCTGCAAGGTGAGCAACGTCTAGTGTTCTCCTTTATTTCTGTCCATTTCATCTCATCAAGGAAACATTTAATGCGCTTTTAGCTAGTATACATCAACCATCGACTATGGCAGCTGTTTTCTATATGTCTATCAGTTTTCATGTTCACCTGGAGGTCTGTCCTGGTGAAAGAATTTCTCCTGCAGTGATTAAGGGCAGCAAAGTAAGCCTATGTTGTATAGGAACACACATGTAATAGTGTCTTGTTAAGCCAGTTGTGCTAGTCTAGCCCATAGGCGAGGTATTCATCCTAAAGATAACGCTAAAGTTAGGGGCATGGTTCTCTACATATCTCTTGCAGAGGCCCGACTTGATCATATCAATATCGCAACAACATGCTATCAGGCATTGCTGTTTTTTTTCCATTTTCCAGTGACAACAACATGATTCACGTTCAACAAAGATTCTGAGATCAATAAAATATAAAAATATTTAACTTTGCTCAGCCTTTCCCCTCCAATCTGCATTAACTGCAGGTTATGGACTTTTTTTATTAAGTACAAAGTGATGAAACTTTCTGATATGTTGTGAAAATGGGCACAAAAAGCTGATTTTAAAAGAGGATTTTATTACTTCCCCCACCAAACTGTTTAACAGTGAGAGTGATATTTAACCAGGCCTAAAACCTCGATTTTCCTTTTTCTATCATCTCTTGTCTCCGCCAGCGTCGACTCGGACAGAGGCTGTGCTGCTTGAGTCGGAATCAGACTCCACCTCCATCCAGCTCTACCTCACTGTAGGGAACGTCAAGGTGAACTTTTATTCCATCACGCTCATTAAGAACGAGTTCAAATGCAGACATTGATCGTTTGTTGACGACATTGCGACATGACACATTTTTATCTTAACGTTATCAACATGATGAACGATGAACATTTATTTATACTTTTTTTTTGACAGTTCTTATAAATTGTTTTGTCTATCTTCAGTCACACTTCTCTGTACAGTTTGCTGTCGGAGCTCGGGGTTTTAAACAACAGTTAACCACAAACAAGACATTGTCAATGTTTCAGATCTGTGTAAACGACGACCTGGTGGTCAAGAAGTTTGCGTTTTACATCAGAGAGTCAGCCGATGGCGGCCAACTGGATGAGGTGGACCAATGCCCTGTCATGTTGTCGTCCAGCATTTTAAAGCAGCTCAGCCCTTCAAGGACTCTGTGCACAGCTGCAAACATGCCGACAGCACAAACACAACCACCTCCTGGTAAACGCACAGATAGCCACATGTTTCAACACATGCATGGACAGCACAGAGGGCGGGGCTCGTTATGACCATACCTGGTTGGCAAAGGGTTTCACTTGGGAAAATGAGAAATGTGACTCTGATTTGGGGGCTCTCATCTGGTTTATTCCTCAGTGATGTCACAAGGTCTGGCTGCTGGCAGAGCAGTTGATTGGCAGACGGCTCCCTTTTCACTTCAGGTCAGCAGCTCTCTCGCTGTGTCAGTGTATGTTCTGAAGTAAATTTTAACACATCCTCACCTCAGACCTCTCTGCTGCTTTAGAGACAATATGATCTGACCTGTGAGGACGGCTGCCGGACAAGTGCCACAGATGAACAACTTTCTTCAAGTAGCCAATCAAAGAACGGCTTGGACGCTGCTGCTGCTGCAGAGAGGTGAGCGCTGCCAGGTTTTAAAAAGCTGGAGACTCTTTATCGTGTATATATTTTTACTGTATCTTATGAAGTTCACTGAGCTGCTCTCATGTTTAGTGATTCATCAGTGGAGACAGACTCGTCTCTGGCTGCAGCTCTGACAAAAAACCTCAGCCTGTTCAGGTGAGTGATGACATCAATCAACGCAGTAAATGTCTGAAACACATTTAATGTTTTTAATATGACTGATACTGACTCAGTCATTGGCTCGTTCTCTTTGACCCAAAGGTTTCTGAAGTTTTTGAATCCTGGCAGCAGCTCTCCGCAAGCGGCTCCCGCTGTGAGTACAATCATTCATGCTTTTATATCTTCAAGATTAGACTATTGTAACCGTATTTTAACAGGTGTAAACCAAAAATTAATCAGCCGTCTCCAAATCGTGCAAAATTCAGCCACGAGACTTTAACAAAAACGAAGAGAGAACATATCACTCCTGTTTTAATGACCTTACACTGGCTACCCATTTCTTTTAGGATTGATTTTAAAGTTTTACTTCTTACTTTTAAAGCACTTCACGGTCTGGCCCCAGAATATATTTCTGAACTACTGTCCCCTTACCAGCCAGTGCGTAACCTGAGATCCTCAGGTATCCGCAGGAACCTCCTTACTGTTCACACCTCAAACTTGAAAACTAAAGGAGATCGAGCATTTGTAGCTCGGGCTCCTCGGCTGTGGAATGACATGCCTGAGGATCTCAGACTAGCTACATCAGTATCTTCTTTTAAATCACTTTTAAAAACACATTTTTATCGTAAGGCCTTCTTATAATCCTTGTTTCATCCAGGATGTTTTTCTTTGTCTCGGTTGTTTCCCTTTTTCTCTGTTAATTGGATGATTCCTGCACTGTTGTTTTATTTTTCATGCTTTTAATAGGATTTTATTGTTGTGCATTTGACTGTTGGGATTTTTTCTTTTTTTCTGTAAAGCACTTTGTGATGTTGGTTTTGCTTTATAAATAAACTTGATTATTATTATTATTATTGTTGTTACATGTTAGAGCCCAGGGAGAGTTTGTCAAGCTAAAGGCATTCATCAGGAGTGATAATGCTGAAGTGCTGTTGTCACATTGTCTAACACATGATTGTTGGACACACTCACTAAGCCTCAGTTCATACCCTCTGTGATCTGTTCACATTTATGTGTCTGTTTTAAAACATTTTATGCATTCCTGAAGAATTAATCCACAACCAAAACCTTTATTTTCACGTTTTCCAGGTGAGTCAGCAGGAGGAGCTCACAGACTGTCAACCTGAAGAGACCGCTTCAGCCACCATCACCTGCACAGGACTCGATGGACACGCTTCCACTACAACAACACAGTTAGTGTAATAAAGCTCTCTCTTCTTTCTCTGAGGTCACTGACATGTTCAGGAGTAGCTTTGTTTAAAATTTAAATTTGGTTATGAATGAGAGGTTTTTTCCAGTTGCATTGTTTGTATTAATGACGAATCTGCAGACTCATGCTGACTCGATTGTGGGATACAGTTGATTTATTTTTTTCCTCCTTGTGCGTACTTGTAATTTGTCAATTTCCAGTTTTCATTAAAAGCCAAGCATATTTCCAGCTTGAGGAAAAACGTTTCTGGGGTCAAACAGCAGTAGCCAACAGTCACCTTCTAGAGGTGGGGGAATAAATCGATACAGTATAATGTCACGATATTTTGTGTGCCGATATTATATCGTCTCATGGCCACCAAGTATCAATATTTTATGTTATTATCATAATTTTATTTTTGTATTATTGCAAGACAACAGT